ATTGGTGCTAGCAATTCCAGTAGGAGGGTGGGGCAAGACCATGAAGAGCTGCTACCCATCACAACACACAGACACTCAGACAGATTGTGATTTAGCTTCAGGAACAACAGACTAGTTCAAGATTGGGAAAGGCGTATGGCAGGGTTACATACCCTCCCCCAACCTATTCAGCTTGTATTTAGAACACATCATGCAACATGCAGGGCTTGACGAATGCAAGGCTGGGGTAAAAATGGCTGGAAGAAACATTACCAACCTTAGATATGCAGATGATACCACTTTGATAGCTGAAACAAGGAGGAGCTGAGGAGCCTTATAATGAAGGATAAAGTGCAAAAGCTGGGTTGTAGTTAAACATAAAACAAAACCAAGATTCTGGCAACCAGACTGATTGAGGACTGGCAAATAGAGGGAGAAAACGTGGAGGCTGGGACAGACTTTGCATTTCTAGGTGCGAAGATGACTGCAGATGCAGACTGTAGCCAGGAAATCAGGAGATGCTTCCTTCTTGGGAAGAGAGCAATGACCAATCTTGATAAAAGAGTGAAGAGTAGAGACATCACACTGGCAACAAAGATCCGCATAGTTAAAGCAATGGTATTCCCCATAGTCACCTACGGATGTGAGAGCTGGACCATAAGGAAGGCTAAGTGAAGGAAGAGGGATGCTTTTGAACTGTGGTGTTGGAGGAAAATTCTGAGAGTGCCTTGAACTATGAGAAGATCCAATCAGTCCATCCTCCAGGAAAGAAAGCCTGGCTGCTCACTGGAGGGAAGGATATGAGAGGCAATGATGAAGTACTTTGGCCACATCGTGAGAAGAAAGGAAAGCTTAGAGAAGACAATGATGCTGGGGAAAATGGAAGGAAAAAGGAAGAGGGGCCGACCAAGGGCAAGATGGATGGATGCTATCCTTGAAGTGACTGGATTGACCTTGAAGGAGCTGGGGGTGGCGATGACTGACAGGGAGCTCTTGCATGGACTGGTCCATGAAGTCAAGAAGAGTAGGAAACGACTAAACGAATGAACAACAACAACCTACGGATGTGAGAGCTGGACCATAAGGAAGACTGAGCGAAGGAAGATGAATGCTTTTGAACTGTGGTGTTGGAGGAAAATTCTGAGAGTGCCTTGGACAGCGAGAAGATCCAACCAGTCCACATTTCAGGAAATTAAGTCCAACTGTTCATTGGAGGGAAGGATATGAGAGGCAAAGATGAAGTACTTTGGCCACATCATGAAAAGAAAGGAAAGCTTAGAGAAGACAATGATGTTATTATTATTATTATTATTATTATTATTATTATTATTATTATTATTATTTTATGATGCTGGGGGAAATGGAAGGAAAAAGGAAGAGGGGCCGACCAAGGGCAAGGTGGATGGATGGCATCCTTGAAGTGACTGGATTAACCTTGAAGGAGCTGGGGGTGGTGACAGCCGACAGGAAGCTCTGGCGTGGACTGGTCCATGAAGTCACTAAGTCGGAAGCGACTGAACGAATGAAAAAACAACAACCTACGGATGTGAGAGCTGGACCATAAGGAAGTCTGAGTGAAGGAAGAGAGATGCTTTTGAACTGTGGTGCTGGAGGAAAATTCTGCGAGTGCCTTGGACAGCGAGAAGATCCAACCAGTCCATCCTCCAGGAAATAAAGCCCGACTGCTCACTGGAGGGAAGGATATGAGAGGCCAAGATGAAGTCCTTTGGCCACACAATGAGAAGACAGGAAAGCTTGGAGAAGACAATAATGTTGGGGAAATTGGAAGGAAAATGGAAGAGGGGCCGACCAAGGGCAAGATGGATGGATGGTATCCTTGAAGGACTAGCTTGACCTTGAAAGAGCTGGGAGTGGCCATGGCCAACAGGAAGCTCTGGTGTGAGTTGGTCCAGGAGGCCACGAAGAGTTGGAAATGAATAAACAACATTAGGAAGTTCTTCTTTAGGAAGTTCTTCCTAATGCCCTTGGTCGGCCCCTCTTCCTTTTTCCTTCCATTTTCCCCAGCCTAATTGTCTTCTCTAAGCTTTCTTCTCATGATGTGGCCAAAGGACTTCATCTTGGCCTCTACTATTTTTAGGTGGAATCTGTTTCCTAGCCATTGGAATCCAAAGAGTCTGACTGCAGCTCTTTGGAGCTATGTGTCTGTGTCCTACTGACCCTCCTCACCAGATGTCCAACATTGTTTTCCCTTAACTTGTCCCTTCCCTCAGATACGTCTGCATCCGAGGGGTCTTCATCTTGACCACAGAGTGCACCTCCTTGACCGTCACGCTGGTGGTGACCCTGCGGAAGTTTGTCAGCCTCATCTTCTCCATCCTGTACTTCAGGAACTCCTTTACTGCCTGGCACTGGGTCGGGACCCTCTTGGTCTTTGTAGGGACTCTAATCTACACAGAAGTCTGGAACAACTTGGGAGCCACGCTGGAGCAGAAGGGAAAGGCAGACGAGAAGAAGCAGGAGTGACGCAGAACAACGCCCCTCTCTAGGGAGGCTCACGTCTTCCTCTTGGAAAGTGGGACCTTTTCTAACTTGAGGTTGCTTTTTTATTATTATTTCTTATGGTGCAGCGTGCTGGTGGATTCCCTTCTCGTGGAAGCGGGGGAATGATTTTTGTAATACAAAAAATAATTGGGTTTTGGCTATGCCAAGCAAGTGGATAGGCTCCCTTAAATGGGGAAATCCTTCAGAAGAAGAAGGTGATGAGTGGAGGTAACAAATTGGAATGGTCTTGAGATGAAACCTACAACGGTTTAGCTCCCAAGTGGAGAACATACAGTCCTCCAAGCATTTTTGACTCCTGATTTCCTTCGATCATTGCCAACTTGACCAACAAAGTAGGATGATGGGAATGGTAGTTCATTGATTACCTTGATACAGTCTTAGCTTGATATAACCCTAACCCTAACACTGTGGCTGTTAGGCGTTGTGGGAGTTGGGGGTTAACCTTAACCAGTCCTCTTTTGGTAGAGAAGGCTGAACGTCTTGTAAAACTGTAACTCCTTCAGCCCTGGCAGTTAAAATGGTGTCAAACTGCATTCATTCAACAGTGTAGATGCACCCCAGGGTTCATTCTAAAGAGGCATGGGCCAAATTTGGCCCTTCAGGTGTTTTGGACTTCAACTCCCACACTTCCTAACAGCTTCAGGCCCTTTCTTTTCCCCCTCAGCCGCTTAAGCGGCTGAGGGGGAAAAGGAAGGGGCCTGAGGCTGTTAGGAAGTGTGGGAGTTGAAGTCCAAAACACCTGAAGGGCCAAATTTGGCCCATGCCTGCCATAGAGTCACACTGGAGGATGTAGGGATCCCTAGTGAGTGCATTCTAATCAAATCCATGAATAATTAAATCTGCAAAAATGAAGCCTCCAATGTGGTGGGAAGGCTGTACTTCCACCCTACCTCCTTGGTCTTTGGATTGTGTTGGGCAATTAGTGCTTGGATGTTGTTTTTGTGCGCTACAAATCCCACAGTTCCTCAACTAGCATGCTGATTAGAGGATTGTGGGGTTTGTAGTCCAAAGAAGTGATGTATCCAAGTTCCAATATGCTGTCAAAGCGTTCTATAGGTCTACGCTTGAGTTCCCACCGGGTTAAAGGCATAGAATAATCTGTGCGAATATGAAGCATCGGCAGATCTGGTTTCCTAACCAAGGCAAAGTTTAAAAGGGGTTGCATCGAATTTGGATGCTCCTGTGGTGCTGGGGTGCGTGTCATTATTAGGAGGGGAAGTCAGAAACGGGTCCCTCCAGTGTGTGGCCGTATCATGGGTCAGTCAAGGGTTGACTTGTACATATTGCATTGTCTTAGAAATCCCAGTCCAGCATCTCTTTGTAACCCAGAGGTGGGATTCGTGTACCTTCTGGAGATCATTGCAATCCAAGTCCTAGCAGCAGCACCCCTGGCCAACCTAGCTAAGGTTAGGGAATGCTGGGAGTTGTAGTCCATCTGTTCTAATCCTTTATTTTGAAGTAATTTTCATTTGTTTGTGTCACTCCATTTCCCCTTGAAAGGTAATGTCTTGACAGTGTTTCATGCATATTTATATATAACTTTGTGTTTACAAGCAGATTTGAATGCTATAAAAAACCACAGGGTTCGTTTCCCCATATTTAGCACAGTTAAGTGTTAGATCGTGACATTGTTTTGCATTCTCATGTTACACCGGGAAACATTTGATGTCCTGTAGTGTTAATAGACAAAGATTTCCCTGAAATTCTGGCTTACGAAGGAGAAATGCAGCACACTTGTGGATGGCGTACCTTCTGGGATCTGTACGTATCTCACTGCATTTCCATATACACTCATTGCTGGAGTAGATTCCTCCGTATTCACTTAGTCCAGTGGTTCTCAACCTTTCTAACACTCCTAAATATGTTTCCTCATGTTGTGGTGACCTCCAACCATAAAATTATTTTCGTTACTCCTTTATAACTGTAATTTTTACCCTCGCCTGTCCTGCGTCGGATGGCAAGAGAGTGAGGCAGGCTTTGCCCAAGGCCAGGGCTCGGCCCCTCACCTGGCCTGCACACGTGGGGAAGGGCCAACGGACGCGGCTTCGCGACCCCTCTGAAATGGCCAGTCGACCCCCCTGGGGGTCACAACCCCCAGGTTGAGAACCGCTGACTTAGTCTGTGGATTGCCTTGCACTAAATATTCACATATCATAAGGCTTATGTTTCGTTAGAATCCTAAAAATGGGGAAACTGGTGCTTCGAAATGAAACGAGTCACCTGTGTTTGGAATACCAAAAAGGTACACCTGGACAGGTGCGTGCCCTCAGGTAGCCCCACAATTTAGGCAACTAGAAGCCACCGTCCAATATAATGGTGCATTATTATTATTATTATTATTATTATTATTATTATTAGGAGGAGGAGGAGGAGGATTGCTCCTCCGTTGGCGTTAGCAGTCAAGCAAAACTGCAGATGATGCAGGTTTCTGCACATCTCTTTGAGCAACCCACCCTTGTCTAGATCCCAGGGTTGCCGAGCCAGGCTGAGGCCCTGTCATTTTACGACTGGAATGTAAGGTGTTCCGACTCTTTTTTCTGAGGGAAAAATACCTTTTTCGTACGCTTGAAAAGATTACCAGGAACTTGAACAAACTTGCACAAGGAAAAAGAGAGGGAAACGTGGCAAAACAGGGAAAGCAGGAACTCCCCACTGACTGGAAGCGGGGGGAAATATGTACGCTTTAATAAAGGACTTTGCTGCAGATTTTTTCTGCTCTACTGTTTGATTTGCGTTTGTATCCTACCCTTTCCCTCTGTATGGAATTTGAAGCAGCGTACACTAGAAGATAAAAATAAAACTAAGCTGAAACGATGTATAGTGGGCCTGCAGGATCCACGATTTCCAGTAACTATGGATTGTCACACCCCATATTAATAAGTTTATTTATTTCATATGAAAGTTGACTGGCACAACCTGGGGATCACAACCAGACACAGCGAAGACATCTACCCTTGCGCTATGCTACTCTGCTGCTGAGTATGCATGCCCGGTGTGGAACACATCTCACCACGCTAAAACAGTGGATGTGGCTGTTAATGAGACATGCCGCATTATCACGGGGTGCCTGTGCCCTACACCATTGGAGAAATTATACTGTCTAGCTGGTATTGCACCACCTGACATCTGCCGGGAAGTAGCAGCCAATAGTGAAAGGACCAAGGCAGTGACATCTCCAGCTCATCCCGTTTGGATATCAGCTAGGACGTCAACGACTTAAATCAAGAAATAGTTTTCTTAGATCTACAGAGACACTCACTGGAACACCTCAGCAAGCGAGAGTCCAAAAGTGGCAGGCTCAAACCCAGAACCTCAATTAATGGCTGATACCAAATGAGAGACTCCCCCCTGGGCACACAGAGGACTGGGTGACTTGGAAGGTGCCCAGTCCAACACGAGATGCAGAGCCAATCTTAAGAAATGGGGCCAAAGTGGAATCCACGACATGCGAGTGTGGAGAGGAGCAAACCACTGACCACCTGCTGCAATGCACCCTGAGCCCTGCCACATGCACAATGGAGGACCTTCTTGCAGCAACACCAGAGGCACTCCAAGGGGCCAGATACTGGTCAAAGGACATTTAATCAACTACCAAGCTTGCAAACTTTTCTGTCTGTCTGTTTGTTTTGTTAAAAATGTAATACAAATGTCTGGTTGCTCCTGACACGATAAATAAATAAATATTTTATTCATTTATTTATTTATTGGCAGTATTTGTATACCGCCTTTATCAGCCCAAAGGCGACTCAAGGCAGCTATAAACGGAAGTGATGTAAATGGTGACATGCCAAAACATCATGTTGCTGTTGTTGTTTATACCTAGAATACTAGAACCGGAAGAGATATCATGAGCTATCCAGTCCAATCCCATTCTGCCAAGAAGCAGGAAAAACACATTCAAAGTACCCCTGACAGATGGCCATCAAGCCTCTGCTTAAAAGCTTCAAAAGAAGAGCCTCCACCACAGTCTGGGAGCAGAGAGTTCCACTGCTGAACAGCTCTCACAATCAGGAAGTCCTTCCTCATGTTCAGGTGGAATCTCCTTTCCTGTAGTTTGAAACTGTTGTTCTGTGTCCTGCTCCCTCTTCCCCATGATTTTCCCTGTATTTTAATCACAGAATCATAGAATCAAAGAGTTGGAAGAGACCTCATGGGCCATGCAGTCCAACCCACTGCCAAGAAGCAGAAATATTGCATTCAAATCACTCCTGACAAATGGCCATCCAGCCTCTGTTTAAAAGCTTCCAAAGAAGGAGCCTCCGCCACAGAGAGTTCCACTGCTGAACGGGGCTGAGAGTTCCACTGCTGAACGGCTCTCACAGTCAGGAAGTTCTTCCTCATGTTCAGATGGAATCTCCTCTCTTGTAGCCCTCCTCATGTCTCATCATGGCCCTCATCATGTCTCCTCTCTGCCTTCTCTGCTGCAGGTAAACATGCCCAGCTCTTTAAGCCGCACTTCATAGGGCTTGTTCTCCATACCCTTGATCACTTCCAACAGACCTCTCAAAAAAAAATTTGTCATGTCAGGTGCAACTTGAGAAACTGCAAGTCGCTTCTGGTGTGAGAGAATTCGCCGTCTGCAAGGATGTTGCCCAGGGGACGCCCAGATGTTTTTTATGTTTTATCATCCTTGTGGGAGGCTTCTCTCATGTCCCCGCATGAGGAGCTGGAACTGATAGAGGGAGCTCATCCGCACTTTCTGTGGATTTGAACCTGTGACCTATTGGTCTTCAGTCCTGCCGGCACAGGGGTCCAAAACTTTCTCTCTGAAATTTTAGAGTTCTGTCTGGTGACGGAGAGCCGTTAGTTCGAAGAAAAAGAAGAGCCACCGGAGGCTCCTTACGTCTCAAAATGCCAGCCACAGATGCAAGCAAATATCAGTATTTTTCACTGTTTGCCTCTCTTGTGATTTCCTCTGACATTTTATATTGGCCATAGCGTGCCCAATGATAGCCATGATTTGTCAAGGAAAATTGTGATTAATCCTTTTATTGTTCTCAGCTGCTTTTCAATCACCCCAGATGCCTCTCGTATTCTCTCACTGTAATTGCTGCAAATCCAGTTCAAAAACAGATCACAGGCAACTCAGGTGAAACCTCACCCTTTCCAGTAGATTTAGGCAAAAGCAAAAGGCTGCGGCCTCTGCTAGCTTTTGTTTTCTTCCTCATTGGCCACCTCAATGGCCACATAAATCCCAGTTGTCACTTCTGAAATGTGGGCGGGTGTGCCATAACGAATGAGAAAGGCTTCCATTCATTTTTATTTGTCGTGTCAGGGCAACCAGTCAATTGTATTATATTTCCAACAGAACAAAACAAACAAACAGACAAAATATAAAATTTGCGAGTTTGGTAGTTGATTAAATGTCCTTTGACCAGTATCTGGCCACTTGGAGTGCCTCTGGTGTTGCTGCAAGAAGGTCCTCCATTGTACATGTGGCAGGGCTCAGGTTGCATTGCAGCAGGTGGTCTGTAGTTTGCTCTTCTCCACACTCACATGTCGTGGATTCCACTTTGTGGCCCCATTTCTTAAGGTTGGTTATGCATCTCGTGGTGCCAGAGCGCAGTCTGTTCAGCGCCTTCCAAGTTGCCCAGTTTTCTGTGTGCCCAGGGAGGAGTCTCTCATTTGGTATCAGCCATTGGTTCAGGTTCTAGGTTTGAGCCTGCCACTTTTGGACTCTTGCTTGCTGGGGTGTTCCAGCGAGTATCTCTGTAGATCTTAGAAAACTATTTCTAGATTTGAGTAGTTGATGTGCTCGCTGATACCCAAATAGAGGATGAGCTGGAGATGTCTCTGCCTTGGTCCTTTCACTATTGGCTGCTACTTCCCGGCGGATGTCAGGTGGTGCAATACCGGCTAAGCAGTGTAATTTCTCCAGTGGTGTAGGGCACAGACACCCCGTGATAATGTGGCATGTCTCATTAAGGGCCACATCTACTGTTTTAGCGTGTTCCACACTGGGCATGCATACTCAGCAGCAGAGTAGCACAGCGCAAGGGCAGATGTCTTCACTGTGTCTGGTTGTGATCCCCAGGTTGTGCCAGTCAGCTTTCGTATGGTATTGTTTCTACCAGGGGACATGAGAGAAGCCCCCTCGCAGGATTGCAAGACATCCGGGCATCCCCTGGGCAACGTCTTCGTAGACGGCTGATTTTCTCACACCAGAAGCGACTTGCAGCATGCAAACCAGCTTCTTCTGCCCAGACATCACAATACAAAAGTGCTATCTGGTAAAATCCAAAGGCAAATCTCTCAAGCGGACTTTTGCCGTACTAATCACTGTCGCCATGACAACAGGTGTTTTAGCTTTCTCCAATTCCATTTTACTTACCTGGATTATTGACCGTTTCTGACCCGGATCCTTTTCTGAAGGGGAAAGCAGCCACGGAGCCCACGGTCTGCCACTTTCAGCAAAGGAAGGATGTCCTTTATTGGAAATGGGGTGGCTTACTACAACTTGTGAGAAATGCTGAACTGAAATAACGCAAGAATCGCACATCACATTCATTTACTTTATAGCAAAACGACAAGCTACTTCCATCCTGTCGGGGAAAAAAGTCTCTCCCTGTCTCTGAGATGATTGTCGGTCTGTCTTCTGCTAAAGGAAGGTAGAAAAGGTTATAGAAAGTCTCTCAGGTGACGAAGGCCAAAGGGAAGCGTCAGCATTGCAGGAGGCAGAAGGACTTACATAGACATACATTATATATTAATTTAGAACAATTACTCTCCCAAACTCAAATGGCTTTGGGATCTTTTCAAGAAAAAGGTGCAAAAACCTACAGATGTCCTCCTTGAGATGTTTTTTTCTTTGCCATGGGACCACACCAAGGTTTTGGCATCTAGAAAGTGAGTGGGCCTCTGCTGATCTGACCCTGAGGCTAGAGAAAGAGAGGGAGGAGGGAGGCTAAGGCCTCTGGCACGGCAGCTGGGCTTCGGAGGCAGACACGGGCTTCTTCCTCCCCGAAGGGATGGGGGGAAGCACCGGCTTGGTGTTGGACCCAGGGCGGACGACGACTTGTGGGATGTGCGGAGAAGGAGGCTTGCGCTTGGTCCTCTTCTCTCTGGTCACAGGGTGGTCTGGCTCTGCTTCAAAAAGGGAAAGGGATTAGGGATGAGGAATGACCAAAGACGGTGGTCTAGAAGGAAATGGAAAACAATCTAAGCCTTGGGTTGTTGTACATAGGTCTTTCAGGCTGTCAGGCCATGCTCTAGAAGTATTCTCTCCTGACGTTTCGGCTGCATCTGTGGCAAGCATCCTCGGAGGTTGTGAGGATGCTTGCCACAACCTCTGAGGATGCCTGCCACAGATGCAGGCGAAACATCAGGAGAGAATACTTCTAGAGCAGTGGTTCTCAACCTTCCTAATGCTGCGACCCCTTAATACAGTTCGTCATGCTGTGGTGACCCCCCAACCTTAAAATTATTTTTGTTACTACTGGTGGGGTTGGGGGGAGGGCGCAGGATTGATTTTGACATTTGGGATTTATAGTTCACCAACAGTCAAAGAGCATTCTGAACTCTACCAGCAATGGAATTGAACCAAATCTGGCACACATAACTCTTATGACCAACAGGAAATACTAGAAGGATTTGGTGGGCATTGTCCTTGAGTTTGGGAATTGTAGTTCACCTACATCCAGAGACCACTGAGGACTCAAACAATGATGGATCTGGACCAAACTATGCCCACATGTCAACACTGGTGGAATTTGGGGAAAATAGACTTGACATGTTGGAGTTGGAGTTGCTGGGATTTATAGTTCACCTACAATCAAAGAGTATTCTGAACTCCAGTAACAATGGAATTGAACCAAACTTGGCACACTGAGCTCCCATGCCCAACAGAAAATACTGGAAGGGTTTAGTGGACATTGACCTGGTGTTTGGGAGTTGTAGTTCACCTACTTCCAGAGAGCACTGTGGAATCAAACAATGATGGATCTGGACCAAACTTGGCACAAACACTCAATATGCCCACGTGTCAACACTGGTAGAAATTGGGGGAAATAGACTTAACATTTGGGAGTTGTAGCTGCTGGGATTTATAGTTTACCTACAATCAAAGAGCACTCTGAATCCCACCAATGGGATTGGTGGGATTCACAGAAAATACTGTGTTTTCTGATGGTCTTCGGCGACCCCTCTGACACCCCCTTGCGACACCCCCCCCAGGGGTCCCGACCCCCAGGTTGAGAAACACTGTTCTAGAGTATGGCCAGACAGCCCGAAAGACCTACAACAACCCAGTGATTCTGGCCCTGAAAGCCTTCGACAATACAATCTAAGCCTTGTTGAAGCCTTGTCAAAGGCTTTCATGGCCAGAATGGCTGGGCTACTGTTAGTTTTTCAGGCTGTATGGCCATGTTCCAGTAGTATTCTCTCCTGACATTTCACCTGCATCTGTGGCAGGCATCCTCAGAGGTGTGTTTGAAGTGAGGCAAGTGGAGTCCACAGATAGATCAATAGATAGATAGATAGATACACACACACACACACACATACACACTCCACTTAGAAGCATAGAATCAGAGTTGGAAGAGACCTTGTGGGCCATCCAACCCCATTCTGCCAAGAAGCAGGAAAATCACATTTAAAGCACCCCTGACAAATGGCCATCCAGCCTCTGCTTAGAAGCCTCCAAAGAAGGAGACTCCACCACACTCCGGGGCAAAGAGTTCCAGTGCTAAGCAGCTCTCATAAGAAGCTCTTCCTCGTGTTCAGATGAAATCTCCTTTCTTTCCTGTAGTTCGAAGCCATTGTTCCATGTCCTAGTGTCCAGGGCAGCAGAAAACAAGCCTGCTCCCTCCTCTCTATGATTTTCTGCTCCCATTTTGATCCCATGTCCCTTATCATGTCTCATCTCAGCCTGAGAGGAAGCCAGAGGGAGGAGGGAGCAAGCTTGTTTTCTGCTTCCCTGGAGACTAGGACGCAGAACAATGGCTTCAAACTACAAGACAGGAGATTCCATCTGAACATGAGGAAGAACTTCCTGACTGTGAGAGCCGTTCAGCAGTGGAACTCTCTGCCCTGGAGTGTGGTGGAGGCTCCTTCTTTGGAAGCTTTTAAACAGAGGCTGGATGGCCATCTGTCAGGGGTGATTTGAATGCAGTATTCCTGCTTCTTGGCAGAATGGGGTTGGACTGGATGATGGCCCAGGAGGTCTCTTCCAACTCTTTGATTCTATGATTCTATGATTCTCTTCTTCAGGATAAACATGTTCAGCTCTTTAAGCCACTCCTCATAGGACTTGTTCTCTAGACCCCTGATAACTTCCAACAGACCTCTCAAGATGCCGGTGAGAATGCTACTGGAACATGGCTATATAGTCCCAAAAACTCACAGCAACCCAATCAAGAGAACACTCAACATGCAGCATTTATTTAGAAATCAAGATACATCTGGTTGGCTTTGGAAGGGTATTCTCTCTGTCTACCCCAAGAAGCACTCTGTTTACTATCGGTTTAAGAAGAGTAATGAAAAGCTAGGTTGGCAGAAGCTGGGGCTAACAGCGGGAGCTCACTCCCTATCCCCGAATTTGAGCTGGTGACATTGCGGTCAGCAAGTTCAGCAGCTCAGCGGTTTAACCCACTGCGCAAATCTGAGTAGATCAATAGGTACCACTCCGGTGGGAAGGTAACGGTGCTCTATGCAGTCATGCCAGCCGCATGACCTTGGAGGCGTCTACGGACAATGCTGGCTCTTTGGCTTAGAAATGGAGATGAGCACCAACCCCCCAGAGTTGGACATGACTGGACTTAATGTCGGGGGAAAACCTTTACTTTTGCCTAATGAAAAGCTAAAATTGGATAAAGATGATGACAGATCTGAAAACTAAGCCATCGTGCTCCAGGGGGAAGGAAATGAAGGGTGCCTCCTGTCCATGTGTGCACCCTTGTTTCTCTTCCCTGCAGCTGTATCTGGCTGCTATTCCCTGGTCTGGATTGTCTCTTTTTCTCCTCCAGAACACCAAGCAGCAACAACCTGGCTTAACAGCTGCTGTGGGGAAGATGTGGAACTCTGCGCTATGCTCGAGTGTAGGATCCTGGTGTGTGAGCTACTTCTTTTGCAACCAGCTTAGCATTCAAACCATTGATCCCACCTGTTTGGTCCTGCTCGGTGGTAGTCTCATCGGTCGACAAACGAGTGTAACCTGCTGGTGACCGGGAAGATGACCTTCCGGATGAAAACGTTCTAGCCGAGGACATTTTGGAACTGAGAGAAGAAAGGGTCATGTGAAAAATCAAGGAAAGTCAAACTCAGGTGTCAAAGATTCATTAGAAGAAAACCAAACAAGAACAGGGGAATTGCAGACAAGAAACAATCCAGGCCAGCTAATCGCCTCCCAACAAAGGTTTCCCCCAGGCAGTAAGCAGCGAGACCTTGGCAGAAAGGAGTTGGATGGCCCTCGAGGTCTCTTCCAACTCAATGACTATCGTTCTTCTCTGAGGCAAGTGTGAATGTTGCCATTGGCCATCTTGATTAGCAATGAATCGCCAGGCAGGAATCACCCAATCTTTGAAGCTGTAAGGCCATTCAATGCTAATTAAGGTAGCCAATGGCAACATTCACACCTGCCACAAACAGACAAGAGTTTTTTCCCACCCTGGACATTCCACAGATATATAAATCCAATTTTCCTTGTTTCCAACAGATCTCCCAACTGTCATGTATCATGTTCTGCAGTTGTTGGTGGTTGGTGGTGGAAGGCCTAGCAGTTGGTGATGGAAGGGTTAATGTAAGTCTTCGTTCTAAAGGGTTGAGTAATCTGTAAGAAAGAGTTCATGGGTGAAAGCATTAAGGGTGGAGGGATGCAAGAGATGGGTTGCAGCTGGGTGTTTCTGGATATAAGGAGCTAGCCTTGGGACTGATCTTTGGGAGAAAAGTATTTGTCATATTTTGGTGGTAGATGCTGCTGGTTTTCCCCCAGGTTTGTGGATTTTCGGAATCCTGGCCTGTCTCTTGAATCCTTGAAACCCTGGAACCTTGAATCTTTGGACTGGCTTTTGACTACGGAATAGATTCTTGATCCCTGGACTTTGCTTGTTGAACTCTCGGCGTTTGACCACTGGACTGGACCTTTTGACCACGGAGTTATTTTGAACCTGCAACAGCGTTTGCTGTCAGTTTTGTTTTATATTCTGTGGCTGAGTGCTATTGTTATGTTTTATGCTTTGGACTATTTAAACAGCTAGAAAGTAAGTGCTGCTTTAATTAAACTGTTTAACACAAACTGGGAGTTTGTTTGGTTCATCTCTACCTGAATAAAGCAGAGCCCTGGCATCGTGACAACCTTGAATCTCTGGACTGGCTTTTGACTATGGAATAGATTCTTGATCCCTGGACTTTGCTTATTGAACTCTTGGCATTTGACCACTGGACTGGACCTTTTGACCACGGAGTTATCTTGAACCTGCAACAGCGTTTGCTGTCAGTTTTGTTTTATATTCTGTGGCTGAGTGCTATCTTTATGTTTTATGTTTTGGACTATTTAAACAGCCAGAAAGTAACCGCTGCTTTAATTAAATTGTTTAACACAAACTGGGAGTTTGTTTGGTTCATCTCTACCTGAATAAGGCAGAGCCCTGGCATCGTGACAACCTTGAATCTCTGGACTGGCTTTTGACTACGGAATAGATTCCTGATCCCTGGACTTTGTTTATTGAACTCTCGGCATTTGACCACTGGACTGGACCTTTTGACCACGGAGTTATCTTGAACCTATAACAGCGTTTACTGTCAGTTTTGTTTTATATTCTGTGGCTGAGTGCTATCTTTATGTTTTATGTTTTGAACTATTAAAACAGCCAGAAAATAAGTGCTGCTTTCATTAAACTGTTTAACACAAACTGAGAGTTTGTTTGGTTCATCTCTACCTGAATAAGGCAGAGTCCTGGCATCGTGACAACCTTGAATCTCTGGACTGGCTTTTTACTACGGAATAGATTCTTGATCCCTGGACTTTGCTCATTGAACTCTTGGCATTTGACCACTGGACTGGACCTTTTGACCACAGAGTTATCTTGAACCTGCAACAGCGTTTTCTGCCAGTTTAGTTTTATATTCTGTGGCTGAGTGCTATCTTTATGTTTTATGTTTTGGACTATTAAATCAGCCGGAAAGTAAGTGCTGCTTTAATTAAACAGGGAGTTTGTTTGGTTCATCTCTGCATGAATAAGGCAGAGCCCTGGCATCGTGACAACCTTGAATCTCTGGACTGGCTTTTGACTACGGAATAGATTCTTGATCCCTGGACTTTGCTTATTGAACTCTTGGCATTTGACCACTGGACTGGACCTTTTGACCACGGAGTTATCTTGAACCTGCAACAGCCTGTTTTATGTTTTGGACTATTAAAACAGCTGGAAAGTAAGTGCTGCTTTAATTAAATTGTTTAACACAAACTGGGAGTTTGTTTGGTTCATCTCTACCTGAATAAGGCAGAGCCCTGGCATCGTGACAACCACTTCTGAGGATGCCTGCCATAGATGCAGGCTAAACGTCAGGAGAGAATGCTTTTGGAACATGGCCAGACAGCGTGGAAAACTCACAGGAACCCAAAACAAAAATGGCTACCTTTGGTGTCCATGAGTAAAAACTAAATCCAACTAAAATGCGGCTAAATTACAGTTCCTGATATGTCTGCAAACCCAAACAGCTGTATCTCATGATGTGGAAGTTGTGATCCATGCTCTCTTACAGAAGGCATTAAGAATGTATGACCTTCCATAAGAAACTCCTGTCATGCTCCTACCATTGCAACCAATAAGAACTGGGCCATTTCCCCATTGCTGCCTTTAGTATGCATTAGGAATGCTAGACCGACCACGTTTGCTGCTTCTGTAGTCCAGCTACCGTTGCGTCTCCCAGGTGTACAACTACTTCCAGACTTAGTACGCTGAATGAATGTGGGCCAAGGGCAAGGCTAGCTCATCATCCGTTTGCCTCCACGCCGGGCCAAAGGTTTGGGCTCCTCTTCCTTTTACAAATTCCTCTTCTTTGCAGCCCTACCACCTAATAAGACGCAGTGGGATCAAAAGTGCCAAGGCATTGCATCCTTAAGCAAACGCTGACCAAAGGCATGCCGTTATTATCTACCTCGGTCTCCCGGTGGGATTGCTGCCTTTTGGTGCAGCGGAGTAGAGGAAAGGCTCAGGGATCTCACCTTTGTCTGGTGGATCTTCACCTCGTCATCATTATAATCTCTAAGCAAGCTAATCATCTTGAAACAGAAAAGGCTCACAAAACAATATCATCGTATTTTTTTAACTTTACCCGTCCTTTGATCCCAAGCGATGGAAGCATGGCATTTAGAATGAAACTCTCTTATGTTTAAGAAATGAGTGCAAGGGAGAGCGGGGCAAGGGAGAGCGGGGCAAGGCTGCAATCCTCTTTAGCCCCATGGATCAAAGGCCTAGTGCAGTGGTTCTCATCCTTCCTAAAGCCATGGCCCCTTAATACAGTTCCTCATGCTGAGGTGACCCCTCAACCATAACATTATTTTCATTGCTACTTCATAACCCTAATTTGGCTACTGTTATGAATTGTAAACCACCACCTCCTCCTGAGAAAAATGTATAATATCACAAAAGACTACCACCTCACCCGCCTCATAGGAAATCTGCTACAAAACAGGAGCTTTTTTGTTGAGTTCCAGGGCCAGAGAAGCAGATGGTGGAAACAGAAGAATGGCCTGCCTGAGGGGAGTGTGCTTGCTCCATCCATGTTCAACATTCACACAAATGACCAGCCACTGCCAGAAGGGACAAAAAGTTTCATCTGTGCTGATGATCATGCTATTACTGCTCAAGCAGGGAGCTTTGAGATGGTTGAACAGAAGCTCTCCGAAGCTCTAGGTCAGTGGTTCTCAACCTGGGGTCCCCAGATGTTTTTGGCCTTCAACTCCCAGAAATCCTAACAGCTGGTAAACTGGCTGGGATTTCTGGGAGTTGTAGGCCAAAAACATCTAGGGACCCCAGGTTGAGAACCACTGCTCTAGGTGTTCTTACTGCCTATTACAGGGAAACCAGCTGATCCCTAATACATCTAAAACACAGACATGTGCTTTTCACCTTAAGAACAAGCATCTCGAGCTCTGAGGATCACCTGGGAAGGAATCCCACTGGAGCATTGCAACACACCCAAATACCTGGGAGTCATTCTGGACCGTACTCTGACCTACAAGAAGCACTGCCTGAACATCAAGCAAAACGTGGGAGCTAGAAACAATATCATACGAAAGCTGACTGGCACAACCTGGGGATCACAACCAGACACAGTGAAGACATCTGCTCTTGCGCTATGCTACTCTTCTGCTGAGTACGCATGCCCAGTGGGGAACACATCTCACCACGCTAAAACAGTGGATGTGGCTCTGAATGAGACATGCCGCATTATCACGGGGTGTCTGCGCCCTACACCACTGGAGAAATTACACTGGTTAGCCAATATTGCACCACCTGACATCTGCCGGGAAGTAGCAGCCAATAGTGAAAGGACCAAGGCAGTGACATCTCCAGATCTCCTGTTTGGGTATCAGCCAGCATGCCAATGACTTAAATCAAGAAATAGTTTTCTAAGATCTACAGAGGCACTTGCTGGAACACCTCAGCAAGCGAGAGTCCAAAAGTGGCAGGCTCAAACCCAGAACCTCAATCAATGGCTGATACCAAATGAGAGACTCCCCCCTGGGCACAAAGAAGACTGGGTGACTTGGAAGGCGCTGAACAGACTGTGCTCTGGCAAAACAAAACAAAACAAAAACAGAAAACAGGCTACTAAAGTGTATGGACCACTGTTTTTTCTCTGGGCAACTGGCCATCTGGATATGACTGGACCTTCGTCATTGGCTGTGATATTTTTTTCATGCCAGGAGCAATTTGAGAAACTGCAAGTCGCTTCTGGTATGAGTGAATTGGCCGTCTGCAAGGATGTTGCCCAGGGGACACTTGGATGTTTGATGTTTTACCATCCTTGTGGGAGGTTTCTCTCATGTCCCCGAATGGGAAGCTGGAGCTGACAGAGGGAGCTCCATCCGCTCTCCTCGGATTCAAACCGCTGACCTATTGGCACAAGGGCTTAACCCACTGTGTTACCATGATGATGGAATGGAAACCTACCAACATACGAAGAGGAACAGGACTCTACTTATACCAGGCACATGCAAACCTTGGCCCTCCGGGTGTTTTGGACTTCAACTCCCACAATTCCTAACAGCCTACCGGCTGTTAGGAATTGTGGGAGTTGAAGTCCAAAACACCCAGAGGGCCAAAGTTTGCCCATGCCTGCTCTACAAGGCTGAAGGTGCTTCATTTCTTTCGTAACCTGCTTCAAAATGGAAAACACACACACGAAGTAGACAGTTTGGTTTCTTGCAAGCTTGCTTCACAATTGATTTCCCACAAGTACATCAGGAGCATTATATGCAAGCATTGGCAGTGCTAATGCGACAAAGCGGTAAGAGGAAAGTACAATTCCACAACCCACAACGGAACGCAGGAGTCTCAGAGCGTTTTTGCCTCCTTCATCAGCCTTGACAGCGGAGAGATAATCCCAGAGCAGCTTATTATCCTAACTCTCCACCACATTTTTTGGCTTCTTCCAGCAGCACAGGTAAGGTAGGCGCAAACTCACCCGCAGCTGGCTGCAAGATCTTTGCAGATGGCTAATTAAAACCATGTAAACAGGAGAAAATAGGCAGCACGGCTTGGGAGGGGGACGCGGGGAAGTGGGGAAGATCATCTGGCCTCTCGCTGCCTTAAAAGTTGTTATTTGCAAGAAAATCGGGCAAAAAACCCCAAAATCAGAGATAGTCCCATTGTGTTTTGTCTAGTTTAGTCCGAGATACTCGCAGGAACACCCCAGTAAGTAGCAGGCATGCAATGCAATGCAACCTGAGCCCTGCTACATGCATAATGGAGGACCTCCTTGCGGCAACACCAGAGGCACTCCAAGTGGTCAGATACTGGTCAAAGGACATTTAATCAACTACCAAGCTTGCAAACTTTGTGTTTTGTCTGTTTGTTTGTTTGTTTTGTTAAAAATGTAATACAAATGTCTGGTTGCTCCCGACACGATAAATAAATAACCTCAGCAAGCAAGAGTCCAAAAGTGGCAGGCTAAAACCCAGAACCTCAACCAATGGCTGATACCAAATGAGAGACTCCCCTCTGGGAACACAGAAGACTGTGCAACTTGGAAGACGCTGAACAGACTGCGTTCCGGCACCACGAGATGCAGAGCCAACCTTAAAAAATGGGGCCACAAAGTGGAATCCACGACATGAGAGTGTGGAGAAGAGCGAACCACAGATGACCTATTACACTGATTCTCAACCTTCCTAATGTCGCGACCTTTTAATACAGTTCCTCATGTTGTGATGCCCCCCAACCATAACATTACTTCATAACTGTTATTGTAATGTAAATATCAGATATGCAGATATGCAGGATGTATTTTCATTCACTGGACCAAATTTGGCACAAATATCCGATACGCCCAAATTTGAATCCTGCTGGGGTTGGAGGAGGGATTGATTTTGTCATTTGGGATTTATAGTTGGTGAGATTTATAGTTAACCTACAATCAGAGCACTGTGAACTCCACCAATGATAGAATTGAACCAAACATGGCACACAGAACTCCCATGAGAACTCTCACAGTACACCAACAAAATACTGGAAGGGCTTGGTCGGCATTGACCTTGAGTTTTGGAGTTCTAGTTCACCTACATCAAGAGAGCACTGTGGACTCAAACAATGATGGATCAGGACCAAACTTGGCATGCATACTTAATATGCCCAAATTTGAACACTGGTGGAGTTTGGGGAAAATAGACTTGACATTTGTGAGTTGTAGTTGCTGGAATTTATAGTTAACCTACAATCAAAGAGCATTCTGAGCCCCACCAATGATAGTATTGGGCCAAATGTATCACATAGAACCCCCATGACAATCAGAAAATACTGTGTTTTCTGATGGTCTTTGGTGACCCCTTTGACACTCCCTCATGACCCACACAGGGGTCCCGACCCCTAGGATGAGAAAAACTTTTTAAATTTTGTGTTTTTTTAAATACATATTCAACTGTACCCTTGGTTTGCTTATGATGTTATAAATAAATAGTCTGTTAATTTCTCAAACTGTTTTGGTCAGTCCTTGTGTGGAATACAGCATCCAGTTCTGGTCACCTCAATCTAAGAAGGATATTGAGACATGCTGAAACATGTCCAGAAAAGGGCACTCAAGATGTATTGTTGAAGGGTTTCATGGCTGGAATCACTGGGTTGCTGTAGGTTTCTCAGGTTGTCTGGCCATGTCCTAGAAGCATTCTCTCCTGACATTTTGCCTGCATGTATGGCAGGCATCCTCAGAGGTTGTGAGGTCTGTTTGAAACTAGGAAATGTGGGTTTATATATCTGTGGAATAATGTCCAGGGTGGGAGAAAGAACTCTTGTCCGTTGGAGGGAGGTGTGAATGTTGCAAATGGCCACCTTGATTAGCATTTAATGGCATTGCAGCCTCAAAGCCTGGCTGGCTGGAGATAACCATGAAAATGAACAAAACCTAGCTAGCAGTACTAAAAAAAAAAATCTAAAATCAGGATGGAAAATAAAGTACAATACTCAAAGAGCAGGAGAATTCCAGACAAGAATCAATCAAGGCCAGCTAAAACTTCCCACAAAGGTTTCCCCCAGGCAGTAACCAGCCAGGCTTTGAAGCTGTAGGGCCATTAAATGCTAATCAAGGTGGCCATTTGCAACATTCACACGCCTCAAGCAGACAAGAGTTCTTTCTCCCACACTGGATATTCCATAGATATATAAACCTCACTTGCCTAGTTTCTAACAGACCCCACTACCTCTGAGGATGCCTGCCATAGATGCAGGTGAAACATCAGGCGAGAATGCTTCTAGAACATGGCCATACAGTCTGAAAAAACTATTAACAACCCAGCAATCAAAATGGTCCAAGGGCTGGACACCATGAAACTCAATGAGGAGTGATTTAGAGGGCTATGTTTAGTTTGGAGAAGAGATGGCTGAGAGGGATAGCCATGTTTAAATATTGGGAAGGATGTCACATTGTTTTTGAAAGTAAAGGTTTCCTGCAAATCTCACCTTAATTCTTAGTCAAAGGAAAGCGGAAACGAAAAATCCTGTTGTCTTGACTCACCTCTGGTCGGGGCTAGTGGATCGGAGGCCAAAGCCGGTGCTGATGGAGCTTTCGGATGATCCCATGGAGTTGAAAGAGGGGGGTGGCTCCAGAAAGTGTGCATGTGTGGACACAATTGCGGGGGCGCCAGCAAGATCCCTGGAAGGAGACGTAAACATTGTGTGAAGATCATTTTCGTGTGCAGGCACCACAGCAGAAGAGGACTTCTGGCACTGGCTGCCACGCCAAATCTCCTTAGTGTACATGCACTATGCCAACACAATGCAACTCCGGATTGGAATAGCATGTCAATAACTGGCCATTGTCAGTTAAGCCTTAATATACAATTCACAACTTCTACACACATCATACAAGACATGCATGAAGTTACTATTGGCCAAACACCATTTCTGCTGCTATTCATAGTATAAAGTTGTTTGCAATGGAACCTTCTTAGCACTGTAGATATAATGTGATTAGATGCCCACCAAAACCAAGTCACTTCAAAAGGCACCAACTTACTCTTACTATCAACTTAGCTTCCAAATCTCCAACCACGATGTTTCTTCTCCCTGTGTTACAGGAATCTCATAAAACATTGCTGTAACTCCCCTACTTCCACCAATCCTCAGCTTCTCCTTTAAAGTGCATGCTTCCTGGCTGCAGGGCCATTGTGATTGGTGGCATTGAGCATTGGACTACTGGTGCATCTACACTATGGAAATAATGCAGTTTGACACCACTTGAAGAGCCACAGCTTCATGCGCTGGATTCTTGGGATTTGTCATTTGGAGAGGCACCAGCACTCTTTCGCAGGACAAGCTACAGACCTTGTGAAACTACACATCCCCAGGGATCCCTCAGCATTGAGCCATGGCACTTAAAGCGAAGTCAAACTGCATTAATTATTTAAGGTAAAGGTAAAGGTTGTCCCCTGACATTAAGTCCAGTCATGTCTGACTCTGGGGTGTGGCGCTCATCTTCATTTCTAAGCCAAAGAGCTGGCGTTGTCCATAGACACCTCCAAGGTCATGTGGCCGACATGACTGCATGGAGCACCGTTACCTTCCCACCGGAGCAGTACCTATCGATCTACTCACATTTGCATGTTTTCGAACTGCTAGGTTGGCAGAAACTAGGGCTGACAGCAGAAGCTCACGCCGCTCCCCGGAATTGAATCTGCAACCTTTCGGTCAACAGGCTCAGCAGCTCAGCGCTTTAACCCACTGCGCCACCGGGGGCTCCATGCATCAATTATTTAGTGTGTGTGTGTGTATGTATGTGTGTGTGTGTGTATGTGTATGTATATATATACAGTATTTCTATTCCACCCTTCTCACCCCATAGGGGACTCAGGGAGGATTACAATGCACATATACATGGCAAACATTCAATTCCATTTAAATATACAACATATAGAGACAGACACAGAGGCAATTTAACATTCCAGCTTTCCTGTTTCATGAGGATACAATCAATTCTGGCCACAAGGAGGGGGGGGGCTGTCATTTCACTGTCCATTTGTGACACTGAGTCCTTGATGGAGTACTTCCTTATGCTTACACACACTGCTGGAAGTTTTTTATGGTCTCGTAAATTAGTTAAATTAGCCTCCCCGCATAAAGCGGTACCTAAATTTCCTACTTGACAGGTGCAACTGTCTTTTGGGTTGCGTAGGTCAACAGCAAGCTAGACTATTAATGGTCAGGAGCTCACTCCAACCCAAGCTGGCTTCAAACTCATGACTTCTCAGTCAGTAGTGATTTAATGCAGCTGGCTACTAACTAGTTGCGCCACAGCCCGATCCTATGACTCTGGGGACCAAGGCTTGACTCCCCAATCAGCCCTGGAAACCTGCCGGCTGCCCTTGGGCAAGTCACATTTTCTTAGCAACTGAGGAGAGCAATGGCAAATCTCCTCTCAACAAGCCTGGCCATGAAAACCCCAAGTTCAAATAAATAGCCTGAGGTCTGCCATAAATCCAAACTTACTTGAAAGCACAAGTAAGCAATTTGACTTCAGCCCTTAGTTGTCCTCTCCAACTAAAACAACTGCTTCTGTACATATTCATTTCCTATTACACCTTTTGCTCCCATCCTTCCCCCTCATCCTTGTTTCCCACACATTTGTGGGCAGGGACCTGACTCTTTTGCTCCGAGCTTCTGAAAAGTGGCGGCTCTTTCGAGGGCACTGCATAGCAACAGCGACAACACAGTTGACCTGTGGCCTGCATCTCATTGTGAGAACTAACTCAAGCAAACTCATTCAATCAGTGAGATTTACTGATGCATTGACTCACTGTTTGACAACCAATTCAACAGATGTACTCTAGCAGAAGTTATGCCTAGGTTGTTGTTGTTGTTCAGTCGCTTCCTACTCTTTGTGACCTCATGGACCAGGCCAGGCCAGAGCTCCCTGTTAGCCGTGGCCACCCCCAGGGTCTCCTTCAGAGTAAAGCCAGTCACTTCAATGATACCACCCACCCACCTTGCCCTTAGTTGGCCCCTCTTCCTTTTTCTTCCATTTTCCCCAGCATCATTGTCTTCTCCAAGCTTTCCTGTCTTCTCATGATGTGGCCTGGGGATCACAACCTGGGGATCACAACCAGACACAGTGAAGACATCTGCCCTTGTGCTATGCTACTCTGCTGCTGAATATGCATGCCCGGTGTGGAACACATCTCACCACGCTAAAACAGTGGATGTAGCTCTTAATGAGACATGCCACATTATCACAGGGTGTCTGCGCCCTACACTACTGGAGGAATTACACTGTTTAGCCGGTATTGCACCACCTGACATCCGCCGGGAAGTAACAGCCTATCATGAAAGGACCAAGGCAGTGACATCCCCAGCTCATCCCTTGTTTGGATATCAGCCAGCACGTCAACGACTTAAATCAAGAAATAGTTTTCTAAGATCTACAGAGACACTTGCTGGAACACCTCAGCAAGTGAGAGTCCAAAAGTGGCAGGCTCAAACCCAGAACCTCAACCAATGGCTGATAGCAAATGAGAGATTCCCCCCTGGGCACACAGAAGTCTGGGCAACTTGGAAGGCGCTGAACAGACTGCGCTCTGGCACCACGAGATGCAGAGCCAACCTTATGAAATGGGGCTACAAAGTGGAATCCACGACATGCGAGTGTGGAGAAGAGCAAACCACTGACCACCTGCTCCAATGCAACCTGAGCCCTGCCACATGCACAATGGAGGACCTTCTTGCTACAACACAAGAGGCACTTCAAGTGGCCAGATACTGGTCAAAGGACCTTTAATCAACTACCAAGCTTGCAAATTCTGTGTTTTGTCTGTCTGTTTGTTTGTTTTTGTTAAAAATATAATACAAATGTCTGGTTGCTGATGACATGATATAACATAATGATGTGGCCAAAAGACTTAGTCTTTGACTCTAATATTCTTCCCTCCAATGAGCAGACAGGCATTATTTTCAGGAGGATGGACTGGTTGGGTCTTCTCACAGTCCAAGGCACTCTCAAAATTTTACTCCATCACCACAGTCTCTCTTCCTTCGCTCAGTCTTTCTTATGGTCCAGCTCTCACATCCATAGGTGACTATGGTGAATACCATTGCTTTAACTATGGGGATCTTCGTTGCCAGTGTGATGTGTCTACTCTTCACTATTTTATCGAGATTGGTCATTGTTCTCCTCTCAAGAAGTAAGCATCTTCTGATTTCCTGGCTGCCCTCATCTTTGCTCCTAGAAATGCAAAGTCTGTCATGGCCTCCACGTTTTCTCCCTCTACTCGCCAGTTATCAATCAGTCCGGTTGCCACAATCTTGGTGTTTTTTTTAATGTTTAGCTGCAACCCAGCCTTTGCACTTTCTTCTTTCACTTTGGTGAGAGCCGTTCAGCAGTGGAACTCTCTGCCCCAGAGTGTGGTGGAGGCTCCTTCTTTGGAAGCTTTCAAACAGAGGCTGGATGGCCATCTTTCAGGGATGATTTGAATGCAATATTCCTGCTTCTTGGCAGGGGGTTGGACTGGATGGCCCATGAGGTCTCTTCCAACTCTTTGATTCTATGACTGGTTAGAAAGTTCCTCAGCTCCTCCTCGCTTTCAGCCATCAAAGTGGTATCATCTGCATATCTAAGGTTGTTAATGTTTCTTCCAGCAATTTTGACCCCAGTCTTGCATTCCTCAAGCTCCACACATCGCATGATGTGTTCTGCATACAAGTTGAATAGGTTGGGTGAGAGGATACAACCCTGCCATACGACTTTCCCAATCTTGAACCAGTCTGTTGTTCTTACTGTTGCTACTTGGTCATTATACAGATTCCTCAGGAGAGAGATAAGGTGGCTTGGTATCCTCATACATACCACCAAGAACTTGCCACAATGTATTATGATCCATACAGTCAAAGGCTTTAGAATAGTCAATAAAGCAGGAATAGATGTTTTTCTGAAACTCCCTGCCTTTCTCCATTATCCAGTGGATATTGGCAATCTGGTCTCTGGTTCCTCTGCCTTTTCTAAACCCAGCTTGAACATCTGGCAACTCTCTCTCCATGTCTTGCTGGAGTCTTCCTTGCAAGATCTTGAGCATTACCTTACTGGCAGAGGAACGAGAGACCATGAGAAATAAGTGCCACTGTACAAAAGTTTGAGCATTCTTTAGCAATGCCTAGGACTTTAAGATAATTTGATGCCGTCCCGTTTGGTTTTCTTATTAAGTTTTGATAAGAAGCCACAAGGCATTTTCTAGGAAGCCAATTTTGCCCCATATGCGGCATGGTTAGATGCAGTTCAAACATGGAAGTTGCAGAAAGAAATGGAAACCCAACAGTTCTGATGGAGAAGCCCCAGCGTGGAGGACGTGGCAAGCTTCGGGCAAGGCGGCTTTGCTCCCAGGAGCCGTAGTTTCCGACTGGCAGCCAGCAAGCTGCTCTTCTCAAAGGCCAAGTCATGACTGAAAGCAAATCAACGTCCTTCTGGTTTTCAATCAGATGGTTGAGACAAACATATGTTTTGCACGGCTGGCTGGAGAAAACATTCTGGCCTCTCCCCTCTGAGCAATACATTTCCATTCATCCCGCCTGGCCTTGTTCACTCGGTGCCCCCTGCGTCTCTCAGGCAGAGAAGAGGGCTGGATATAATTTGTTAGCACTCAGGCTTCCGAATCCGTTGCATAAATTCAC